TTATTTAAAAGAAATCTTTATACCTCACACCTAGTGTATTCCTGTGATATTTTGACATCACATCTCTCTGAATCACATCCACCCTATATTACAGAGTACAAAATGAGCAGACTAGAAGAGTAATACCTTCTAAACTTGAACTGTTACTCTTCACAATTACATATAAAAGAATTAGGTATTGCCATTCAGACCTGAATGATATAATGTATAATTCAGATATTTGTGAACTTCTAAGAGTTGTAAATGTAAAAGGCCATGTGCAGTGCCAAAAGTGGGATCAAATATTATTAGCCAAATCTTGACTAGAAAATACTTCCTGATTTTTTTATAAGACAAGGGGATTATATTCTTTGTCTGCTTAATTCAAAAGGTAAAAAGCAGTAATAGTAGACTGTGTTTCTCTGACTTTAGATTTATGTTACCTTCAGTTTTGTCAGGGCCACCCTTCTATGCAAAATAGGGGTTCATGATTTCAAATGGAACTGATAAACAGGAACTCAAAAGTCAACAGAGCAGAGTAAACTCTATACCAGACTCCTCTAAGTTTCTTGTTGTTGTTGTGGTCTTTGACATGATAGGAATTGTTTGGGATTTTTAAATACATAATTACTATTTTCAAGCACTTTAATTATGTGTGTGTTTAATACCATCTGAGTTAGTAAATATGCTGTTAATTGCTTCGTGTGAAACAAGAGAAACAAAACTACATGGCCGCAGGGAGCAGTTTATTTATCTAAATATAAAATTTTAATGCATGTATTTATAAGGCATATACAAGTTATCAGATATAACTGGGTATGATGGTACATACCTGTCATCCTGGCACTCTGGGAAGCTGGGGCAGGAGGATTGCAAATTTGAGGCCGGCCTGGGTTACTGAGTTATGTAGTGAGGCCCGGTATCAAAATAAGAAAAGGAAGGGAGGCCTGGGGGTGTAAGTCAGTGCAGAAGCCCTGGGTTCAATCACCAGTACTGAAAAAGAGTTGGGTGTTATTTTGGGGCATAAAATTTCTTTATATACCTCATCTCTTCTTAAAACATGGTGTTTTTATTTTTATTTTTATTTTTTTTTTTTTGGTTTTTCTCCGGTACCAGGAACCGAACTCACGACCTTGCGCTTGCCAGGCAGGCGCTTTTGCCGCTGAGCTAAATCCCCAGCCCCAACATGGTGTTTTTATTTACTTTCCATAAAGTTGGTATGTTTTGTTTTTAGTAAATCAGGCTTTACCTGCATGAATTGGCTTTTCTGTAAGCTTATAAGATTCCACTCTGCCAGCCTTCTCTAATGAATATATCTTTTGAAGAGGGTTTTATTTACCTAATCCTGCTATACTGACTGCCAATTCTTAGGTACTTACCTGTGAAGGTTGTAAATACTAGCAGGTCATGTTCTTTGATTACAACAACAAAATTATCATTGTTTCCTACATGTCATCCTGGAAGAGTCTATACAATGGAATGCAACACAAGACACACTAAAAGGAAACCCAGTCTGAGCACTGTGGCACACACTTGTTAGTCTAGCTACTTGGGAAACTGAGGTAGGAGTGTGACAAATTTGAGTTCAGTCTGGGCAACATCAGAGAGACGCTAAGATAAATAACAAGGCTGCAGATATAGCTCAGTGGTAGAGTACCCTTAGGTTTATTCCCAAGTGGGGCCCCTCCAAAAAAGGAGGCCCTGCTTCATGGAATACTGGAATTTTAAGACAATGAATTATAGCTATTATTTCCTTGTAACATAAAATAGAATTAATTGCTTTTGCTCTCCTTCCACCAACTTTCCTGTCTTTCCCCTCTGCTTTCCTCCCCACCAAAGAGGGTGGAAACCTTACAGCTGGCTTTTCAACTAGTTTAGAAAACAATGTTGTTCTCTCCTTGGAAGGGGAATGTTAGGTTTAGGGCTTGTCAGAATGTTAGTATTGACAAAATCAGTTTTAAACTGTGTTAGTTAGAAAACTGAGGGACATTCTTGCCAAGCTATGACAATGTACTGCCTTAACTTAACAATAAAAATTGTGCAAGTGACAGTGTGTCTCTGCTGAATGGATTTTCTTACACCATCTGGTTATCATTGTAATTTTTTTGTTGTTGCTTTCATTTAAAATGTGCTGATGATCTTGTTTTTATTCCATAGCATTGAACAGATGGGTTGATTATTCTTTACAGATATTAATAAGGCAGCGGAAAGAAGAAATATGAATACGGCTCCATCAAGACCCAGCCCCACACGAAGGTAAAGTACCCTGAAGCAGTGAGTTACCTTGGGAGAGTTGGGCTCTGGGGAGTTAAGCCCAACTTCATGCATCAAGGGTCTTTTCTTCCCCCCAACAAATCAGAAACGCTCAAGCAAACAATAAGAACATGAACCTTGTATGAAGGGCCTTGCTGCTTTTTAAAAACATACATCAGGAGATGCAGAGGAAGCTTTGTGTTTTCCGTTGACAAACCCAGCAAGTTCAGCTTGCAACATGAGTTGCAGGCAATTGAAGAGGATAAACCTCTGTCTTTCCCCAGCTCACGTGTCACTGGGAGCCTCTAGAGCAGAAGGAGCGCCCCAGGGTCGTTGGTGTGTGCCATACTGCATTGCAGCAGGCAGCAGAGATTCGACTCTTCATTCCAAATGGCTGCTGGTCCAGATGTTAACCCAGGTTTACGGAAAGAGCTGCTTGAGAGATTGCTGCTGTGTCTGTGCTGCAGATCCCCTGTTTGCTCGCATGCGTGGGTTTCTGTTTGAGGGGAAATAAAAAGGGCAAAATACTCCACCTCTCAAAAGTCTCCCTTTTTCTTAGCTTTCTTGGAAATAGAGGGCATTTTCCCAGTATTTTCCCTTTCACTGTCTACAAAAGACCAAGTCCTGATGTGCACCTTCAAGATATGAATTAAATTGGTCCACTCTCTCAATGAAGAGCTTTACTAATGTTACCATTTACAATGAAGATGAGTATATTATATCCAAAGTTTCTGGTTTCATAATGCACACAAGTGGATGTTCGGTTTTGTCTGGAATGCAAATAGATAAGACACATTTTCTATGTGGTGTCTCTTCAAGGCTCAAATGGATACTCAGAATGAATTTTGCCTTTGCCTCTACATAAAACCCCAATTTTTCATAAAAACTACCTATCTAAACTATATCCCACAGTAAATTACATTTCCTACAGTGAACTGAACACTGTAGTGATTTCTAATTTGCATTGATAACTCCACAGGTTCTGAGGATACACCCAAGTAACTGAACAGTTGCACATAAGATGTAGCTGTCCTACTTTTGGGCAAAATCACAGGAAAAAAATGGCTGCTATATGTTGGATTCTTTGTCCATTCTGCCTATACAGAGGAGTTGAATCCAACACCACAGCTACAGCTACTCCACAGGTATCAGGTGGATGCCATGGCCATCCATTAGTTTCATTACAGAAGGGAATATGTACATTATTATTCTCTCTGACATTACCTCTCTCTCTCTTACCATAAAGAATGCCTGCAGTTTCCAAGTAAATACCTTGTGGGTTGATTTGTTGTATCTATGTGTAGCCTGAACATAAGCAAATTCATAGAACTTCAGCAGTTCCATATAACATCTGTTTCCATTCATCTACATCTAACAGTGCTACAGATATTGTGGGCAGTCCCATTTGTACTATTTTCCTAATTGTCCCAGTAAATACAGCATAGGAGTGACTGAGAATTTGTAACTAATGGTCAGAAATATGGGGCGCTCATTGGAAGCTGTAGTTGCTAACTGGCTTAGAAAGAGACATAGTGTTTGTCTAATTTCCGGAGAGAGTACTAATGTGTATGTTTCTCAAGTAGATGACTTACCAGAAGTATGGAATTTGTAACTACAAAGACTTTGTCTCAACTTCTAAAACCCTCCCCCTTTTCTGTTATCTCAGTGATGCTTGTGATCTCTAGATAATAGTATCTGTGTTTTTGAAGGTTTAAACACATATGCACATATTGCAGAATACAAAGTAGTTCTTACTTTTCTTATATATTGAGGGGTTTGTAATGTCATCCTAATAATGATAACCAGGTGATTTGACATTTCCAATTGATTGTAAATACTCAACAAACATTGCAGTTTTGGAGAAATTGCCAGCTTCCCTGGTTAGAATCCAGTATGGCTATTGCTGGGGTATTAAACAGATTTATTTCATCCGAACCTAAAATGCAGTTCCATAGTTTCTGTAAAGGAAGAAGTGACATTATGCTTTCTTTATAATAGCCCCTCTATAAACAGACATATAAATTACACTGAAGAGAGCTTTTAAAAATGAACTCCTTACTAGGGTTCATTTTTAAAATGTGTAAATCACTTCCATGTACCTCTTAAGAAATAGCACCTCCCTCAGAACTATGTTCTAAAATGATGTCGTTTGGGTTTGAATAGGGTTGTGGCTTCCTGCTTTACTTACAGTTGATAGGAGGGATATCTAGGCTAATTCAAAGTCTATTAACAATCAGCTTTACCTTTGATGATGTGTGCCTGAGTTCCTTAGCATGTTATTTACATGATACAGTCATGTTTCTTCGCTTCAGGGAAGAAGAGCAGTCATATTTAATAAATTTGTTTTAAATCCCACCTAACATGTGAGTAGGGTTCCAGATTTTTACTTCAAAAAATAGAGGAGGGAGTAGAGAATGTAGCTGAGTGTTAGAGCATTTACCCAACACGTGTGAGACCCTGGGTTTAGTTTCTCATACTACCAAAGCAGGGGGCAGACAATCAAACATTGAACCTTAAATTTAAGGTGAGTGCTAACATTTCAGTCATTGACCCAATCATGTCTTATCTCAAGATACACCAGTAGAACATGAGTAAATTACAAAGAATGGACAAATGGTTAACCAGGAAGGGACTAATGATTTCTCTCAGGGTGAATACTGGACATCTCATTTGGTGCATGCTCATCCAGTCAAAGCCTTGAAGTATTACAAATGTACCAATATGTTGATAACTGTGTGTCCCCAGCCTTAGGGGGATGCATTGTTCACCAGGATGAGACTGTGACAAGTATTTCCTTAAAGATACGTCTTTATGTCTTTGGTGCTATCTTTTAATAAGAAAATTGTTTTTAGGCATGCTGGCAAGACCTTCATAACACTGTGTTTTGCTGAACTTTAACCTTGAGTGTCACAACACCCAAGTATCTTTGGGAGCTTTCATAAAATTATTACCCCTTCAAATGTCTCTGTAAACCCGTTTTGCTGGCTTTGCTCTGTGTTCAGTAATGTCTCCCTAATGATTCCAGCTATCAGTGTATAATTCTGACAGTATTGGCTCAGCCAAGCACAGAACTCTGCATGAGGAAGCCCTGCTCTGGATCACATTTCAGCCTTCATTTAACCCTTGGGCCACTTCATTGGACCCTTTTGAGTACTTTGCATAGTTGCCATATAAATTGTCTATCATTGATACTGACAGTATTCTTTCTTCAAAGACTGGATCATAATTCTGGGTGTGCCTTCTCAGTTCAGTACCCCATCTTGGCAAACCAAGCCTTGGAGCGTTCCCCTGCACAAACTTGACCTCCAAGTATTACAGAGAAGACTGTATTTTCTAAACTTTTGCTTATGACCTAAAGAAGAACAAATAGAATCAACTTTTCCATGTCAGATACTCTTCAGAGGATTTTCCTCATTTATCTGTGAAATCTGTTAAGCTTCGTACCACGTTGGCAAAAGTTACCGAGGACTGGGTCATCATATATAGCCTGGCTGTGGACAAGTTACCTGTATGACCTGCAGTGCTTTCTATTTGTCTGCAAGACCTTAATTCTTTTGATAACTGCTTGCTTCTTGGGTGTGAAACAGCCCCAGCTTTTGATGGGCCTCACGATTAAAAGATACCAAGCTGTGATTACCTCTACACCAACACTTGAAGAGTGATCAGTTCTCAGCAAGTGTCTTCTCTACCCACAGAAAAGTCATCTTCGTGCTTGAGAAAATCATCAGCTTGCTGCATTGGGAGAATCATGGACACTTAGCAAAATTTGGATCTGTGAAGTGTGAATCTCGTTGCACCCCATATTCTACCTACATCTAATGGCAAAATTCTACACGTCTTTTATCTCTATTTCTAACACTAGCATGGAGCCATCATGATAGGGGATCAACACACAGCAGCAAGCCATTTAGATAATATTTGTGGACAGTATCTGTGACCAAAGTTTGAAAAACTGATGAAGGATTTTCTTAGGGTCAAAAACAAAAAAGGCTGGCCCTCGCAAGAACTATTAAAGAAGAACAGAAAGAAGAAAGGAGATACTAAGTCAGGGGCCTTTCTCTCGGCCCTTCTCTACAGCTTAAGGCCAAAGAACACCATCCTGGATCTGAGGTCTCATTCTCTTGCCAAAGAACAGCTGAAGATCTGTCACAGTCTACTAGGATGATCATCATTTATCAGTTCTTTTTCTTTAGGCTTTCAGATGCCTGTTGCCCTAAAGCTTCTTTAGACCTCGGCAAGAAAAGCACTTCTACTGGAAGCATATCACTTGCCATTTGTGCCATGGTTTCTCCCTTCACCTATCCCTCCCTTACCACCTAAGTGTTTTCCAGTGATGTAACCTATTTCTCTCAAGGCAAAGAGCGTTTTACCTCCTTCCCTCCACACCCTGGCCAAATAGAAAAGAAGCTTACTGTAGAATTTTAGTTGTGTTTGCCACGTGCTTCAATTTGTGTACTCTAGTGCTGAAATGTAACCACTGTTATTTTCTTTTTAGCCTCTAGTGACATGGTACGTGAGGGTGTGATGCATTGATTTTCCTTAGTAAAACATCGCTGGTGCCATACAGTGATACTGTGAATCTTATTATGCTCCAGAAACCTCTGCTTATAACCTGCTTACCACCTCAGGTCAAGTTTTCTCATGCAGAAGGCTTTGTCCTCTTGATATTCTGGTTCTTGTACACTGTACCACCCTTTTTGTTAACTGTGTTCTCACTTTGAGAAAACTGGTGGGGCCAGCAATAGGAGACCTTCTGTTTGGAGGAGTCTTTTTTGGGGTCCTAAAACAACCCTAAAGGGTTTTTTAAATTTTTTTCTCCAGAAGAACAGCAGTCTGCCATAATGTTCACCTTTTAAGGAAAGTAAAGAAAAAATACTTTACGTTTTCATTTTGGAGAATTATTATCTTTTCTCTCTGTACTTCCACTGCTCCTTTGGTTCTCTTATCCATTCCTCCTACATTTTTACCCTGAAGGCAAGTAAGAAGAGATAGGTAGTTTTGTTGCAGATGGACTTTAGATTTTTTAAGCAATAGGAAGGGCTTGCTGACTCAAACTGGAAGCACAGACCCAGACTTTCCTAAAAAAGAGTTATATTCAGCCTAGAACGATAGACTTTGACAGGTGAGGTTTTTCAATGGATTCAAAAAAATGAGAACCATGGGTTGGTAATGTAGCTCAGTGGCAGAGTGCTTCCTAGCATGCATGAAGCTCTAGATTCAATACCTAATACCACAAAAAAATGAAAACCAAATGTGACATTTATAATTGTCCCTAGGCTGTGAATAATATGCTATGACATGGTGTTCTTACCTGCATTCCCTACCCCCATTTCCAGCCCAAGGCTTTGTGGGTGGTCTGTGGTCTGTCAGGTTCGTGATATTTCAGCCCTGATTTTCAAGAACACTTGAAGTCTGACTCTACCTCTGATGACTACTTTTGACCGCTCCCCAACGCAGCTTTATCCGCTGATCATTAATAAGCCAAAAATACTTCGCAGTTGTTGCTCCCTATTGGGTCGTGAATGTTTGCCCACATTGTGTACCACATCGGATATTAGACGTTCGGAGGATTGTATGACCTAATAGGAAAAGTTGAAACAATCATGGCTAGTGTATACCTTTTTCTGATAACTGATGTCTCTCTGTCTCCATTTAAATTCCCTGATCTACCATGTGTTTGCT